TATATATGTAAACAAATTTTAAACACGTCTAGAAAGAACTAGATTTATTAAGTTTCACCATCAAGAATCTCGTCACAAAAACTCGGGCCGTTTGATCCGAATGTTCTCCGCCCTGGACCTGTGCTGTTGAATTGTGACTGAAAGTTGATATGATATGTTAAGATTATCTTTGTGATCGTAAGGTGTTGATATGAAACATGTTTGCGCATACAACACAACATCATCCGCGAGTCCACCCCATCACAATTTGATGCTGTGCTTCCGAGTCGTCCCTGCAAGTTGGCGCACACACTTCCCGTGCACGGACTACAATGCACCGGCATTAGTTGTAATATGGTCCGAAATAACTTAGCGCTCGATACGTCGAAACATATCTGTGCGTGCACTCATTCCTATCTATCCGTTTGTAGTACGGACTACAATGCACCTGCAATATTTGTAAAATGGTCCGAATTAGCTGAGCTCTCGATACGTCGAAACGTATCTGTGCGTGCACTCATTCCTATCTATCCGTTTGTAGTCCCGTTTATACCAACAGCATCACGACGGCGAATTCAACGACGGCCTGATGGTCGGAACGTTCGAGGGCACCCTGGGCACTAGTACCAAGACGAAGCGTAACGTAAGTCACTCCTTTCTCGCTGTGGTTGTTTTGTTTGTACATGTAGGCGATATACGGCAACTGTACTACCAGGAGTGTGGTAGGTGTAGGTGCACAGTGTCTGGACTGGACTGTATTCGGTTGCATCTGATCTACGGTGATGGCTCGGTTGATTAGTGCGTACTGTGCAAGTAGTACCGGAATCGGCTTTCGGGGACATACATAGCACTCCTAGATGAGAGAATGGGGCGCGTTTGCTGGATTGTTATGGTGTATCCGGCATGTAATACGGTGTTCAGGATAATCATTTTGAAGCCCAAAGTAAACTAGTATAGAGTGCACATTGTTTTGCCTCGTTCAATATCTTCTCATTTCTCATATTACAAATCATAATCCATGCGCACGCATTAATAGGGCGGTCGACTTAACACCGTGAATTCTAGTGTTGGTTTGAAGGATGGGGAACCACACGACCCAGATTCATCACTGGACGCCGTCGACCGACACATGCACTCACCACCCCGCGCCAGGAAACATGTGCCTGGCTATTCCTGGCTATCGCAGGCCACGAAGAAGACGTGAATGAGTACG